AGCTTAGAAGTTTTCATGCAGGCCCCTACATTTGTACCCTAAAGTTCAAAGTGGGGATCCAGCCTTGACAAGGACTCACACTTTAATTCAATATAACAGCACTGAGATGGTTTATTGTGAAATTAAGAATAAGTTTATTAATAAAGAACATAGATTTAAGTGATATTAAGCAAGAGAAAAGGACACTTATAGTTACAAACAAAACACACTTTCTAGTCTCCGAGCCTTAAATGTAGCAGCTACAGTCTTTTCCTAAACAGCTTTTTCACTGACATTAAGATACCAGCATTACTAGTTCTTGCAGCAGGAAGATCCAATGTTCACAGAATCAGAAGGTTCTGTCTCCTTTCCCCCTAAGTGACAGATAACTAGAATGAATTTTTGCTCTCCTTATACTTCCTGAAGTCCATTGTTTTTGTCTCAAGAGCCAGGAAGACCTCCCGGGGGTTCAGGCTCCTGTGTGTTCCCCAATCAGGCCCTGATACTGTTTCCCCTGCCACTTGTTAGTTTGATTGCTTTATTTACCTCATGTACTTTCATTGTCCTCTGCCTGTAATCAAGCCAGGCAGATGGGTAAAATCCACATTCCTTTGTCTAAGGCAGGCTAGTTTGTCTACTGCCCCCAAAATATATTTTAACAACGTATTTCCAGCACACATACATTACTTTTTATAAATAACCCGTATATACATCACACAACGATATTCATGACCAGTGTGTCATCAGTTGTCAGAATATTTTGCCAAATAGTGTTTTGTAAGGTATCATATGACAACAGTGTGTTGAGTGTGCCCTTTGCCAATTGGCATAAGGGGGTTGTTAGGGTCACGTATTTGTATGCACACTTTTACATCAGTTTAAATAACAGGGGCAAGCTAAACTGCCGTAAGCTGTTTAAACTGATATGAGTGTTTATACACAAGGTTGCACATGGTGCAACATGACACTATTAGTTAACCTGATGCAACTTCTTTGGGCAGTAGACAAGCCTTAAATCCAGTGTCAAATCCCATTATATTTCCCTATATAACTGAAGACACCCTCCTTTTATAGTTCCCAGAGGGTTTGTGTGCCCAGGCATTAAAAGTAATTCATTCTCATTAACTTAATCCCCCAGTTTAGAAATCAGTTCACAATTATAAATGTATTTTAAGATCATTAAACAAACTTGTTTAATTTTTTCCGTTTTTATTCTCCTAATTTGCATGGATGCATATTGGTGCACTTGAAAGATCTTTTGTCCATTTCCAAGGACTCTTTTGAATACACAAACCTTGTATATGCAAACCATTTAAGAAGTCTATTATTTAACTTTAAGACATTGATGCCTGTGAAAGTGTCTCCATCTCACTTTACTCCTTTTAGCATATTAATGACATAAACTTAGGGCTTTATGTTTTGTGGCTGATTATCAGGTAGTAAAACAAATAGAACTCATTGGACAACCAAAGCATTGTCATACTCTCATTCTAGAACTTCTCCATAGACCAAATGTACTGGGGGTAGGGGGGATTTACCATGATGACCCCTGTTGTCTGTTCTGAAATATCTGAGAATGGTAGAGACATGGTCATGGCCCATCATAGCCAATGGTGGATCATCACCTCAACTCAAAGAGTAAATTGTCTGGATTGATTTGTAATAGATTTTGCATACCAAAATAGATATTGGTATGAAATTAGTCTGATCAAGGTAGACTTTATATTTTCTTAAATTAATGTTATTCTTGTAATTCTCTTCCTATTGCATACAGGGGACAATGGAGGAATTCTCTTTAGGCTAATTTAACACCTGAATATTTAAACATATATTGTTCACAGATTGTATAACCTACTGGAAAAATGTGTTGCATCATCTTTCAAAAGCAGAGAGTTAAATTAATTATGTACAAGATAGATATTTATCTGAGGATTGTTAAATAGATTACTAATTATTTTTAATATTTAACATGATCTTGACCTGCTAGGTCAAGGGAAGTAGAAAGGGTTTCCTTACCTTCTCCACGGACCTTTATATGATCATCACTGTGGGGGATCCCATCTAGGCCAGCAAATTATAGCTGACTTTGTAAAATGCTGAGCTGCAACGTGCAAACCTGAAAGGATCTGACACTACAAATTGCAGCCTGGCTTAATGTATCTTGGATGAAATTGCTGAAAGCTATAGTGCTACCAATACACTATGATTCAGGGGATGAATTAATTTTAATATTTATACTAGAGGACCACACATGTATTTCATTGCTTAGGTAGGCCAAACTGTACACCCAGCCAGGTCCTTGCTCCCACTATGGCCAGGTCCCTCACCCTGCCCCACACTTAGGTAAGATTCAAGAACCCTACTGATTTTGGTGAAAATTGGAAAAGCCTGATTTCTAATGATTTCCACCAGTATTACACCTTTGGGCATGAGTGGCTAGCCAATATTCAGAGGCTTGCACGTTGTTTCTATGAGGAGGAGAAACTGATGATAGATATTCCTTGTATGCAATCCTGTTTATTTACAAAGAAAGTACACAAAGTCCTGTTTCCCAGAACACAGTATGAATCAAACAGGGGGCAGTTTCTTTACTCACAGCTCCAAGCCTCTTTCCAAACAGCATTCTGCCCCCAAAGTTCCCTATCCTTTCTCACAGGGCTTCATTTCCAGGCCTTCTTTTGCTGTGTCTAGGGCTCCCTTGCTGCCTTTTCTCTGAACATCTGTGATGTTTCTGCTGCTTCTCTCCCAAACAACAGTATAGGAAATTGACAATAAGTTAATTTTAATTGTATATAACCCAAATAACACAGCATTACTTAATATTGATAGTTATATGGTTATCTAACTATATCAATTATTTTCCTCTGTAAAGGCAATTTCAACCTTTTCTTTAGGGCATCTAGTGTCATGGGGGCAAAGTTCATTTGAGTCCTGTGAGTATTTGCTTCCATGTTCATACATACTTTGAAAACCATAGGATATAGTGTAGTACATCTGATTCTGTTTGTTTTCATGAGCTTTTGTAAACTGTTATCTACCTCAATAGCATCCTTAAGTAAGTCTTGACACAGGGCGATTTTACGTCAGCCTGACCACACGTTTCTCTCTAATCATGACAATTAGTTGATATTGTATCTTGAACATGTAGGAATCACAGATCTGGGACATTCACCAGGACCCTGTCTTCTTCCTCCCTTGTCCGCTTTCACCGAGTCTGAGAAGTTGTTCGGAGGTAAAATCGTTTGAAAGCTGGATATTGACAGCGCCCAGTACAAGTGAGTTTCAGGGGGCTCTCGGAAGAGGCAGTCCCTGAGGCACTGGGGGGCTCCGGCCCGAGGATTTCCGGTACAATTTGCTCACTTTACCAGCAGCTATTTATTCAAAAGACCAACGCTGCAAACTCATCCTGGGCTCCGGGGTCGCTCTTTCTGTGCGGGGCCGGGCCTGGCACCGGAAGCTGGGGGCGAACGGGAGAGGGAGCCCTGTCCTCGCCCCGAGTGGAAGCGGTGGGGCGGGGCCGGTCTGAGCAGGGTCTCTCCGCGCTCGCCCCACTGACGGGGGAGGCGGGAGCGAGTCCCCCGCTCCACGCGCCGGGAGAGGCGCATGCGCAGTGTGGAAGCCTCGCCGGACCCGCGGTGCTAGAGGCCTGTCACTTCTTCCTGGTGCTGCCTCCTCGCTGGAGCAGGATCCCCTCTCTCGGGGCTCTCCGCGGGCCTGTGACCCGGCTCTCCGGTGAGTTCCACCGGTGCGTGAGGCTCGTTAGCCGGTCCTGGCGCTGCCGCTGGGGCGAGGGTGCGCTGGGGGGCCGGGCCCGGCGGTTGGGACCGGGCTCCGCTCTGTGAGTGTCGGGCGCCGGGCTGGCGTGTGGGCCCCGTGCCGGCCCCGGTGGGAGGGGCAGGGGCTGAGCTCTGCGGTAGCGGCTGCCGATCCCTGCAGTGCTCCAGGGGCGGTAGTTACAGCGCAGTGGGACCCGCGCCCTGCCCTGCGGCACGCACAGAGCGGGACGGGCACCCGCCTCCTCTGAGCCCTGCAGGGCCGGTATCCGGCCCAGTACGGCCCGTGCCCCGTGGGCGGCGCCCGGGCATTTCACTCACCGCCCCAAATTGCGCTAGACCCTTGGCCATCTCAGCTTGCGGGACCATGCTCCACCGCGATTTCCCTGTGTGCGGCGGGAGCCAGCTGGGGGCCCGCTCCTCGGGGGTGGCTGGTGTTCCGTTTCTTCCCTTCTGCTGCGAGTGGGGGCGCGATGGACTGCGCAGTTTGTATTGGTGGGTGGTTTTGAACAGACCTGAAAGCTCTAGACTTCTCTGAGCATTATAAGACCCCTGGGTGCTGTTTGACAAGCAGGAGTTGATATCAGCAGGCTTGCCCAAAATTTGCGTGCACCTAGTTTTAGCTACAGTAAAGGTGTGTTTCATTGATCCGTTGTGTGTTGATTGTAAAGCAGTCTGGGATCTTTCAGGCTGAAAGGTACTGTATACAATAAATGTTAAATATTATTTATTCTGCATGGGATGTTTGAAAATGGGATTCAGAATTTGTCAATGTTTCCATGAATGCAGAATGTTGCCTACAAGAAGAAGAAGAAGAAAGGAGAATTATAGTCTATACTGTAGCCTTTGAAGCTGCTATGTTTATGCTGTAGTTTTTCAGAGCTCTTCATTGTGTGTACAGCAAGTAAACATAATTCACTAAAGCATACTGGAATTTTCCAGTCTCTTCCTTTGGCCCCATCATTATTTCTTGCTCTAGAAAAGTAGGAGGTTGCTTTCCCCCATCTTTCCCATTTGTTCCTTGTCAGTATCATACTGTTTTTAGTGGATGTCTCAGTAAATAGTGACTCAGACTTGAAAATAAAATGCATGGAGATTCGTGATTACTTGCTAGAAAATAAATGCCTTTCAGATCCTTGGCTGGAACCATAACAGAAGTGCAGAACACTACTATTAAGTACTGAAATTCTCTACATTTCATAAATATTTTCCTGCAGAATAATAAAGTTAGGGTTTAAATTACATTTCTAGTTAAGTGAAAGATTAGAATACCTTTTTCCTTTTAAATTAAAGTTTTTAGACTTGATTGTTCTGCAGTCTATTCTGGTAAAAAGCTAATTAATTTGTGGATTTTTTTCCTTTTCCACCAGCTGTGAAGAGTACTTGATTGTGGAAACCTTGGATCACTACGATTGTATATCTGTTCTATTCTTTTGTGTTACAGGTTGAAACTCGTATGGCAGTCATTTATATGGATCTGTGATGGATCTATAACTATGTCCCAAGTCAAGCCGTCATTTTGAGCATCCTCTTCTGAATTTGGTAGGATAATAGGTTACTCTATGGGAAAAGTAACTCTCTCTATCTGGTTATGCTTTAACCTTCTGAGACAGATAAATTGCGTTCCACATAGGTTACTACGTTTGGGTTGCTTACAGTGAGACCGTGAAAGTCGATGTTCTATCTTTAGCACATTGACTTTTGGTAAAAGAAATGTTTTGCTCTGTTATCCTTGCCCATAATGTCACCCCTTTCATTATTACGCAGTGTTCAATGTGGTAGTTGGTGATAGTGACTCTGTGTGTGATGCTGTATTTATATAGTTTGTAAAGCACATGAGGATCTTTCAGGATGTAATATTTGTGTAAATGTACTATATTTATGATAAATTTATATTGAATATTCCATTCTTCAGTCATGCTATTTTGATTACAGTGTTAATTGATGAAGAATTGCAGTAATTTTTAATCAAGAATATTTTTAGATTCTGTTTTGAAAATATGGTGAAATTCCTCTTTCTGTGAAATCAGTTCTTGGTTTTTTTTTTTGTCTTTTAAATCACAAATACTTCACACAAAATTGGAAACCAAAAAGAAGAGAGAAATGTTCCATTGTGTCTTCTCAAAATCTAGCTGTAGTCTGTCAATACAAACTTAAAAATGGGATCCAGGCATCAGGGAGCAGGGATGGATGAGTTTGTGTCCATGGATGTAACTTAACAAGGTGAATTCAAAGAAGTGGTTGCCATCCTTGGGCCCCAGTTTACGTTGTGATTTGCCTCCATGGACACTTGTGCTCATGTGAAGCCCCAGAGAAATGCACCGGGACAAAGCAGTCCATCTGCCTGAATCAGAGTGCAGGATCATGGTCTAGGTTCTGATTAATTTAAAAAATACAACTTTAAAATGTCAAGTGTCAAGAGACTCGTACATGGTAAATATTACAGTTATTGGCACATCAGTTTGTATTATCAACTATACAAGTTGATAGAACATCATAGAAGCTTTTAAAGGGCATTGGCAAATTAAATGTAGCCCAACATATAAATTGTCAAAATAAGCTTTTATAAAACTGAAGACTAGAAAATGTTAGAAATCTTTCTAAATTTTCAAGAAAATACCAAAGAAATAGTTATCTTTAAACCAATAAATGTTCCCATGTGGTGACTGAAATCTAAATACTGCAATGCTTGGATCCTGATAGTGAAAGCAGGGTGGATAAAAATAAATGATTAAAAAAAAAATTGGATATTTTAAATTTAAATAGGATTTTTTTTATTTAAATCGGGTTTTTTGGAGAGTTTTCCTCAAAAAGCATTTTATCTAAAGATAGTTTTAATTAAGATACATTATAGCTCAAAGATATCTCATCATAGAATAGGGATTATAAATTCTTATTCTATAGTATGAGACAATATATTCATGTAATGTTTAAGAAAAGTTTTGTAAATGAGTTCTAGTAGTTCATTGATTAGGGACCCAATCTTATGGGGCTCCAGGGGCTTCTGTATAGATTATTTAGGTTAATCTTTCTATCTACCCAATGGGACTCAGTGCTCATACCATCAGAGATGCTTAGTTTTGCAGTTCTCAAACTATGGATTTGTGTCTCCAGAGATAACGTGCTTGTTAACAGCAAAAATGTTTCTAAATAAATAATATATAGAGGTGAGAAATAACAGACCTCAACCCTATTGTCCCTCTGCAAATTTGTGTACACTGAGTCAGTCCCTTAACTCTCTCTAAAAGTGCAAAGTTTCAAAAAGTTGAATGAATAGAAGATTGTTGGGGGTGGAATAGATCTGGACAAGGAGAAGTCGTCTGGAGATAAATATGAGAAGGGAGGGACAGGCAGTAGAAACAAAAGTGAAACTTTTTGAGCAGCATATTCCAGAAGTCTTGAGATCTTTCTGAATCTTTTCTTCATTGATTTGAGATCTACCATACCATTCTCTCACTAGAAGGGAAAACCTATAATGGCAGCAGGCCGTAAAAGAGACCCAGTTTGGGAATATTTTAATGAAGTTCCTCTACCTGTGAAGAATATGTATTAAGGTTATAAGAACCAACAAGAATGAGCTTTTATGTAGAAATCCATTATTAAATCGAGTCTTCCTGACTAGTGATTTAAATCGTGATTTAAATAAATTTGATTTGAATCAAATCCACCCTGAGTGAAAGTGACTTAAATTATCTGTCTCCAAGTTGAGAGTAATGTGGAAAGTTAACAAAGAGCTTAAAGAGTGACAAGTAAGTTGGACTTTCAGAAGTCTTCAGTTTCAGTTATCAAAGATTTTGCTATAGAAAAAACAAATGTTTGTTTACATATACTTTTGAATGTAGGGTGTTGCTTTAAGTATTGTCTCCTTCATAACGGTACTTTATTTTTTTCCCCCTGAACACTGTCACAGAAGGAACATTTTGAACAGTGAAGTTGCGAGATCTTACTGATCAAGACAACTGGAACCATGTTGTGCTGGGGAAATGCATCCTTTGGTCAGCTTGGATTGGGTGGAATTGATGAAGAGATTGTATTAGAACCCAGAAAAAGTGACTTTTTCCTAAATAAAAAGGTCCAAGATGTAGGATGTGGACTCAGACACACTGTTTTTGTCCTGGATGATGGAACTGTGTATACATGTGGATGTAATGATCTAGGACAATTAGGGCATGAAAAATCCAGAAAGAGACCAGGTAAGTTAAAAGTAATGAAGAGTGGATTTTGTGTGGGTTTTATTTTTAACTTTAGTTACCACATTTAGGCCTAAGAACTGCAAACATATTTACATGTGCTTAACTTTCTGAGTGTGAGTAATCCCAAGCACGTGCATATTTGCAGAATTGGGACTTTAAAGATTTCCGTTTTATGGTTTTGATTTTTGTACTTCTGTTTTGTTGTGTAGAAAGTAGTAAGGATATTAAATCCTATGAAGATATATAATTACCCAACCCAGCCTAATTGATAGCATTTTATAAAAATGAGGTCTACCACTTAACTTAATTTTTCTTTTTTTTTTTTAATTTCAGGCTATTATTACTTTATTGGTTTTATATAGGTACATACAGTTATCATGTCAGTTCTTAGCCATTACTTCTCTAAATCTAGTAAATATGTTATAATTTTAATAGGTTATTTTAAAAAGGTAATTACTTATGTCATGTTGCCATGTGATAGACTCATAGTCTTTAAGGCCAGAAGGCACCATCATGATCCTCTATTCTGACCTCCTGCTCATTGCAGGCCACAGAACCTTAGGCCTCAATCCTGCAAATTGCTCTACATAGGTGGACCCCTGTCCCCGTCAAAGGTTCTGTATGTGGACGTGGGGGTCCCCTCTGACAGAACAATTTTTAGGTTAAAGACGTTAGTTTCCACGTCCCATTGTAACTCTTAGTGCTTGGTTTTTGTTGTTGTTTAGGGTACGTCTATACCCAGCCGCTAGTTCGGCGGCTGGCAATCGAACTTCTGGGTTCGACTTATCGCGTCTTGTCTGGACGCGATAAGTCGAACCCGGAAGTGCTCGCCGTCGACTGCGGTACTCCAGCTCGGCGAGAGGAGTACCGCGGAGTCGACGGGGGAGCCTGCCTGCCGCGTGTGGACCGAGGTAAGATCGAACCAAGGTACTTCGAACTTCAGCTACGTTATTCACGTAGCTGAAGTTGCGTACCTTAGTTCGATTTGGGGGGTTAGTGTAGACCAAGCCTTAGACACATCATTTCACCTGGCTAAGTTCCAGTTGTCTGTTATGCTTAGATCTTTCTGTAACATTCTCTAAATGAAAAACCTTTCATTTATTATAACTAAACCATTTTCTGTTAACTTCTGTTTCTCTAACAACTCTGTAGTTTTAATTCTGTTCCACGGTGCTTGCCATTCTTCCTTTCTGTTTGGTGATATTGTTGGTATGTGCATGCTACACTCTTTCCTCCAGGGCACACTCAAATATTAAATATTAGATGCAAGACTGACCATGCTTTTTACAGTTTCACACCACATGTAATCACTGGTTTATAGTACTTTAGTCATTTAAGTATTCATTTACAGTATATTTACCCAGAAAATATATTAGTGAGATTACCTTGTGGAACTATACCATTATGAAAATTAATTTCATTTAATATATAGATAATTGCTTATATACTAAATAATTATCTCATAGAACAGTAGATCATGGCTACACAATTTATAGCTGCGGAGCTGCTGGGCTCTAGTGGCAATGAGGGAGACCAGCAGGGCCGTGGCCAGCGACCAAGCCAGGAACCGCAGCCAGGAAGCTCCTCTGGCGTGGCTGTGCTGCCTCTAGCCCTGCCCACTGTGGCAGGCACCAAGCTCACTGGCAGAGGTACCTGGTCACAATAATGTGTGCAAGTGGCACGCACGCTCTCAGACAGGAGTACAAGGGCCACTTGCACACACTAGTGACAGGAGTTGCACACTGCTGCATGATTGGGACTCTTATCTGGGAGCGTGTGAGCTGCTTGCATGCACCAGCGTGACTAGAGACAGCTACCAGTGAGCCTGGTGCCCACGCCAGTGGGCAGGGCTGGGGCCGGCACAGCCACGCCAGAGGAGCTGTGTGGGCTGGGTACTGGCTTCTGCGATAGTGGCAAAAGCAGTAGCATGTCGGGCCACGGTGGTTTCTGCCCCAGTTGCTGGCCATGGTCCTGCTGGTCTCGCTCGTTGTCACCAGAGCCCTGCAGCTACACTTATATCTTCAGATATAAATTGTGTATCTGCACAGGGAATCATAGCACTATAATTTGCCAGTTACATGACAAACCACAATAATTTTCAGTGTCTTCCTCCGTGATTAGTCCTGAATACCTAAAATCCCCTCGTTTGAATAGTTTCCTATTTTATGTTTCTGATTTGTAGTTGCTGTTCTAAACTTAAATTACTTTATACCGTAGAGTGCCTAAGCACAACTGGCAAATTCTCAAAAAGTATGTTGATGATGTCCATAGAACAGTGGTTCCTAAACTTGTTCCATTGTGCAGGGAAAGCCCCCAGCAGGCCAGGCCGGTTCGTTTACTTGCCGTGTCCGCAGGTTCGGCTGATCGCGGCTCCCAGTGGCCGCGGTTCGCTGCCCCAGGTCAATGGGAGCTGTGGGAAGCAGTAGCCAGTATGTCCCTCGGTCCGTGCCACTTCCCGCAGCCCCCATTGGCCTGGAGCAGCGAACCGCGGCCACTGGGAGCCGCGATCAGCCGAATCTGCGGACACGGCAAGTAAACGAACCGGCCCGGCCTGCTAGGGGCTTTCCCTGCACAAGCGGTGGAACAAGTTTGGAAACCACTGCCATAGAAGAACCTTAACTATATGTTTGAAAGTGAAAAATGTTTGATCTGAATCCTTTGAGGAATTAATTTAGCATAATTAACTGTACTTACGTCGGTTGGGCTTAATTCTTTTTTTAAATTGTAATATGGTTACAGTCCAAATATACATAGTATGCAGCATTTCCCACACCACTTCCCCACCCCCAAAGAAACCCAATAACACACCACAATTTCAGTTGTTGGAGGCAAAGGTGGTGGTGGTGCTCTTCTTCAATATAGTTCAAACAGCAAACATAGAGCAACATCTGAAGATTGATGTAATGTTTAACTAGATCCTCTTTCATGTAAGTTCGAAAAGTGTCCTAATGATAGGCCTTCAAGTGGGAAACAGCCGGTCCAGGCTATTGAATTCTGAGAGGAATCAGTAAGAGTTAAATCGCTCCTCTCTTTGATGGTTGAAGAAACTGGTTCTGCTGTACTCTATAATGTGGTCTTTCTTGAGGCAGGCATGATCGTGGGACCCAGCACAGCTATCTGTGCTCCAGTGTAGAACCACTGTATCTATAGCTGTATGAATCCTTCAGCCATGTCATTGACGTGCATGTAATAAAAGCTATTTGTCTCCTAAATAATTGCATGTTAACAGATTGTCAGCCAAACCATCATTTTTGCCACAGTCCCAGTAACCCAGCTGTTCAGTGGATATCAATGTGGAAGGTTCTGGTGGGAGGAATCTGCCTCCCACAAGTTAAGGAACATCTCCACATGATGGTTTGGCCGACAATATATTAACATGCAATTATTTAGGAGACAAAAAGAGCTTTTTATTTTCTAATTAATCATTGTGATGGGAAGGTAGTTTGTTTAAAGCAACACTCTCTTGTTTTCATTTAAAATAATTAGAAAAAATAAAATTTCTGAAACCATACTCTGAATAGTGTGTCCTGATTTTTTTAAATGAGCGTTCAGCTTCCATACTGATGTTAGGAAGGGTCTTCTGGTAAGCCTAAAAAGTCACAATGCCAAACAAATTCAGGATCCTTCCTCTTCTCCTACTTATTATTTCTGCATTTTTCATATCAGCTTTGCTGCTTCCTAAGTTGCTTTCTAGATGGTTGATATTTAGCTTTTTAAAACTAAGTATTTTTTATTTAAAAAAAATTGGTAAGTGGATATTAAACTGATTAACTCAAGCTTCATTGTAATTTTAACACATGCTTCTCTAATTGCGAGCAAGCATTTGCTGGCATAAACTTGCATGTTGATTAATCTAGCAGGATCTGACTTTTGTGAATTACCTTTAAATAGCTATTCAGATCTGAATATGTTAATCTTGTCCAGTAAATGACACCATTTGAAGACCGTTTTGAAGACTAAGATTGTAAATAGCATGCTTGCAATAGACATTTTTTTTTTTTCATCTTGGTAAAATAATTAACTGACCTGGGGCCTTTATTACCTTTGCATGCAAAGCAGCAAAATGTGACAATTGTTTTTTAATACTATTCGAATTAATACAAAAGGAAGTTTCCATACTGAGACCGACTTTTAAATTGTGGCTCGTTGGAACCCCTAAGCTGCTTTAAAATACTCATGTATTTTGTATGACTTTCTGTGGCACCCATCACGGTTTTATCTGAGGATGTTCAGGCCTTTATCTAAACCCTATCATGGGATAAGAGGGAAGGTCCTCTCGTGGATCATTAACTGGTTAAAAGATAGGAAACAAAGGGTAGGAATAAATGGTCAGTTTTCAGAATGGAGAGAGGTAAATAGTTGTGTACCCCAGGAGTCTGTACGGGGACCAGTACTGTTCCAACATATTCATAAATGATCCGGAGAAAGGGGGTAAATAGTGAGGTGGCAAAATTTGCAGATGATACAAAACTACTCAAGATAGTTAAGTCCAAAGCAGAGGGCAAAAGAATTACAAAGCAGTCTCACAAAACTGGTGACTGGGCAACAAAACGGCAGATGAAATTCAGTGTTGATAAATGCAAAGTAATGCACATTGGAAAACATAATCCCAACTATACATATAAAATGATGGGCTCTAAATTAGCTGTTACCACTCAAGAAAGAGATCTTGGAGTCATTGTGGATAGTTCTCTTGAAAACATCCACTCAATGTGCAGTGGCAGTCAAAAACGCTAACAGAATGTTGGGAATCATTAAGAAAAGTGATAGATAATAAGATAGAAAATATCATTTTGCCTTATATAAATCCATGGTATGCCCACATCTTGAATACTACATGCAGATCTGGTCACCCCATCTCAAAAAAGATGTATTGGAAAAGGTTCAGAAAAGGGCAACAAAAATTATTAGGGGGTATAGAACGGCTTCCATATGAAGAGCGATTAATAAGACTGGGACTTTTCAGTTTGGAAAAAAGATAACTAAAGGGGGATATGATAGAGGTCTATTAAAATCATGATTACTGCGAAGAAAGCATAACACAAGAACTAGGGGTCATCAAATGAAATGATTAGGCAGCAGGTTTAAAACAAACAAAAGGAAGTATTCCTTCACACAACACAGTCAACCCATGGAACTCTTTGCCAGAGGATGTTGTGAAGGCCGAGACTATAATAGGGTTCAAAAAAGAACTAGATAAGTTCATGGAGGATAGGTCCATCAAGGCTATTAGCCAGAGGTGCAAAACCATGCTCTGAAGTGTCCCTAGTTTGCCAGAAGTTGGGAATGGGTGACAGTGGATGGATCACTGGATGATTACCTGTTCTGTTCATTCCCTCTGAAGCACCGGGCATTGGCCACCGTTGAAAGACAGGATAGTGGGCTAAATCAATCATTGGTCTGACCCAGTATGGCCATTCTATTTTTTTTTTTCCTTTTCCAATCCATAGATCACTGACAGTAGTTTGTAAATGAGAGGTTGTAGAACTAGATTACTGTATATGATGTACATTCTATCATGAAGTATATACATATAGATTCTTTTAAAATATACTGTGTGCACTTTAACTATGACTTGTGTGCACAGTAATTATTCACTGAACTTTCTGTATCTCTGTCATTTTAATTTGAAAATAAACCAAACTTAAAAGACAATGTACTGGTGCAAAAATTCTGTTTTTAAGCGATATAGTGGATTGCTTTATGCACCCAAATGTATCTGTCTTAGGGGCTGCTGCATGACATTTTCCTCCTATGAAGAAAAGTGAATTTGTGAGGCTCTGTTTAACAAGCACCTGTTGGAGTTGAGAGAGTGTTTGAAAGCAAGCTGTTTCTAATTTTTTAAATAACTTAAATGCACCAAATTACTAAGAGTATGAAGAGTATATCAAATTGTTCATGTTTGGAAATATTAAAAAAAATTGGTCTGAAGCCTTAAAGCCAAGTTATAATCTCCTCTTGTCGTTAGTATTTATAATAGAAATACTTACAGGTCCTGAACTCTAGCATTTATTGCTATCTCAGTGGTTCCCAGCTGTGTGTTCCGTAAAGGAAAAGCCAAGTAGTGTGGGTAGCAGGGTCTCCTGCTTAAGTGGTTCATGGTAAGACAGAGCTGTGTAGTAGTAGTTGCATGATCTCCAAAAGGGATTCATTCTTCAAGGATTTAGAAGGGCTTTAAATAGATAAAACTGAAAAATATCAACTATCTTTTTGTACCATAATCTTTCCTTATGTGGGGAGAGGTGCTGCTGTGAGCTTCGGGAAGATGACAGGACTCTTTCTCAGAAATAATTACACCCAAATAACTGGTTCGTTTTGCCTCTAGTGGTAGTGAAGCTGGGACACTAGACCAGCAGGAGACTGACAGCATAATTGCTGCAAATTGTTCTCTTTCATTTCTGCAACCTTTTAGCATTTAGTGCTGCAAGCTCCTGGATTTATCTGGGGTTATCAGAATAAAAGCTTTCACTTTTAATGACTGTCTTTTTTTGTGATTACTACTGGGTTTTAATCATCTCACCAAACGGAACTTTTAAATTAGGAGCAAGCCTGAGCATGAAATTTACAAGCTATTTCTGAGTTGCAACATTTTTCTTCCTGAGCTCCTATTTTCTTTTTATCTCTCCCCCCTGTTTTTATTATTTATAAAATGACCAGATACATGAAATATTGGTCTGTCTCTTATTTGGCAGTACAGGGAATGCTTAGGATAGAGCTACACTTACCGTTCAAGTTATTTTTATGTTCTGTAGAATGCCATGTGTGTGAGGCGAGGGCAAAAGAGAGTGGATTTCCTGTTTCTTTTCATTTACGGGCATATGTGTACTTCTGTGTGCTTGCCAACTGCTAACTTATCTATAAGCATTCTGTCACTGCTGCAGTCACTCAGTTGCCAAACTCACGTTCAGAAATTATGATTGGCTTAAAAATGATTTTTAATTTTTTTATTAGCCTTCTGGTTTCTGAATCTTTACACTCAAGTCATGTTTCCAGACTTTTCCCAATAACCATGAGGCATAGAAAGTATGTTGTAAAAAATGAAAGTTGAGATTCAAAGGATTCCAGGATCTGGGGCTTTAAGAAAAACACAACATGTTAGAAAACTACACTTCAGATGTTCAATTATTTTGTGTTCTTCAATTTTGGGATGCCTAATTTGACATCTTGCACCTGATTTTTCAAAGGTGCTGAGGATTCACAGCTTTTGTTTAAGTCAGCACTTTAGAAAATTGAGCATAAACTGTCTAAAAATGAGCACATGATTCATGGACACTTATGAACATTTTGGTGTTAATGACAGGACTCTGATATTCCCCCATAACCTTGTTGAAGTTGAAATAAAAATTTCTGGAGGTTTCTGAACACAAGAAGTTAGAGAGGAGGAAAATACCGGGCAGTTGTTTTTAATTCCATAAATGCTACCAAAAGCAGTTTCTACTACCTTGGATTCCTTTTCTGACTATTATGGTTTTCTTTACGTCTTCTCCTTTAAAGGGATGTTGAGAGATTTAAAAACATCTATCTTAAAATATCTGCTTTACCTGTACTACTACTACTACTATCATAAATTATTAAAACATGAACAATTTTTTTAAAAAAATATCATTTAGTCTTAACTGTTTATGCTGTTTTACTTTTTTTGCACTTCATTTTGCTTTTGGAATTTTGGAAAATTAAAGGACAGCTCAATTTAACTTTATGGTTCTCATGCAGTAGTACAGTGCTGGAGCTTTTGGGTTATTAATGCTTGAATCCAATCAACTATTATAATTGAAATTTAAAATAATTTAACGTATAGTAAATGTCCTTTGAAAACATAGCTTTGATTCTAATAGGTTCTCTGTCCCTTCCATCATGTCCCAGAGTTTGGCCCTGAAACTATTCAACAGTCTCCCATCAGCTGTTGCATTAGTTTATGTCCCAGTGCATTCTTTCTCAGTCTATAACTAGTTCGCAGTTTTTATGAAAACCACATCTTCAATTTTATTTTATTTTAAATAATTTTGCTTAACTGCCCAGTTTCTCAAGTTTGCTATTGAGTGCATGGGAATGTAGCTTATTTGACCAGCACAAGTGCACACTTTGAATACAGCCAAACATATCTGAAGATATGCACACACAGAGTAGTGACAAACAAGAGGTTAACAATGGAGTCTTATGTCCTTAATTCACTACACGTTTTTCAGAGGTCTGCTGTGTATATCTGTGCATCAAATTTAGCTTTTAGGCCCTGATCCTTCTGTGCATGCATGCAGAAGACCACCTGTGTGGAGTCCATTGCAGGATGGTGGCCTTAGTCTGTAATCAGCCTTTCCATTAAAGGACTTCTTAATGATGATAATAATCTGTGCATAATGGAATGTTTTCCTCTTATATAATGGCTATACATTTAATCATTCAGTAATAATCACCTTACTGTTAATTGAGTCTGTGCATTCATTTTCATAGATTTTTAAGGTTAGAAGAGAACTGTTACTATTATCGTGCATTTCAGTTGATAGAGTGCCCTTGTATTGTAACGATACTTTAATCCTGGTCACTGTTTATATGGGATAATAATACGGTGAGATTTAACTTGCCCTTGTTGGATTGTTATGTCATTAATAAAGGTATTTTGGCATGCTTTTAGACTAATTTTCCGTGATATTTCATTTTAATATCTTAATATACAATGGCAGGAATGGAAATTTTTTGTTTAACTGTAATATATTAGAACATAATTTCTTTCCTCTCTTACTTTTACAGAGCATGTTGGTGCCCTGGATGCCCAGAATATTGTGTCTGTTTCATGTGGAGAAGCCCACACACTAGCATTAAATGACAAGGGCCAAGTGTATGCGTGGGGTCTTGCTACTGATGGACAGCTTGGCTTGCCTGGAACAGAGGAATGTATCAGAATACCCAGGTAAATAAAAAAGTGATCAAAGTAAAATTTGTATATATTTTTTGAAAGAAAACTTGTTACATTGAAAGACATGTAAGTGAAACTATTCAAACCGTTCCATAATTAAAATATTGGTCAAGTAATTCTGTAAAGTATAGAAGGTTACTTTACAGCTGTGGAACCTGATGATAACAATTTTTATTACCTCCTCCCCAGTCACTCAATGGGTTCTTGCTAATAGGCACACTTGGTAGATGAATACGTTGGAAGAGAAGGGTGGATGTTTTAAAAACACAAATTAAGATAAGTAGATGCTACTGGCTTTTATTTTTAAAACAATTGAAGTGAACTAACCTTTTAGGAACTTACAGGGTTTTTTTTAAATAATCATGTGGGTAAAGGAAAATGGATATGTTTGCAATCTGATCTTTATTCTAATTTTACACCTGAAGTACTTAGCTGAGTTGGAATAATATACCTTCTGGTTATGTAATCAAAGTGTAAGTGTGTGTGTGTTTTATTTGTTTGTTTTTGTTTTTTGTTTCCCCCTGAAGGGGGATATGCTTGGTTTGCATCTCCACCAAACAGTCCCTATTAACTTAAGCAATATTTTTGGTATACCTTAACCTTATGTCCCGATCCAGCACATGCTTCAACTTTACTACCATGAGTAGTTTTATTTAAATCCAATGGAAGGTTGAAATCACGGTGGTAAAGCTAAACACGTGTATGTATTTGCTGGATTGGGTTCTTAATCATCACTGTTAAGCTGTCTAGCGTGGCTCAAGAGTTTGAGTACCAACTTCAGGACAGACTGTTAAGAAGCAGGGCACAAACCCCAAACTGGTTGTAAATTCTGTACTTAGATTTCACCAACCAAGTATTGAGAATAAACTCCTCAGGCACTTTAACAGCCTAACATGGAGTGACAGTCAGTCCCCTTGGGTACTTCTGCTCTATCTTGCCACCTATGCAAGCTTGCCTTAGTGATAGATGGTCCCTTATACCAAAAATCACCACAATATTAAGGTTATGCCGAATCCCACATTAATTCCACTTTAGATCTTACAATAAAGACAACGCTGGTAGCCAGTCCTATACTAAATTAACTGAAGATTTATTAACTAAGAAAAACAAATTTAGTTATTTACATGGTTAAAGCAGATAAACATACACATACTAATGAGTTAGCCTTAGGTTTCAAAAGGTGACAGAAGTTGCTGTATATGCAATCTCTATATGTCCTTTAGGGCTAAACCAGCCTATGCAGCTGGGGATCTCTGATGTATCCTTAGAAATCTTGCCAAAGTCTCAAAGTCCAAGCAGCAGAGAGCTACAGTTTCTTCTTGTGGGGTATTTTTATTCCTTTCACCCCAGAGTTCAAGCTGATGGGATGAGTTCACACACATGTCTCCTCTTCATGGGTGAGGGGAGGAATGCAATTAACCACGTAACTGTTCTTTGATGTTTCACAATGGCTCATTTGGTTTCAGTGGGCCACCTTGGTGGGTAGGACCTAACACCTTCTATAGGAAGCCAGCATTTTTACATTAAGTAAGGCTCCTTTTTGTGTTTGACTGATGACTTGTTTACACTTACAGCACTCCAGGGGCCAATATAGCGCTTAGTGAAGATGCTTCGTATGTTGATGGGAGAGCTTCTCCTTTGGAGTAGATACTCCACCTCTGCTAGTAGCTATGTCAACAGGAGAAGTCCTCTTGTCAACATAGCTCTGTCTGCACTAGGGATTAGGTTGGTATAACTGTGTTGCTCAGGAGTATGGATTTTCCACACCCCTGAGCAACATAGCTATAGTGACATAAGTTTGTAGTGTAGACCAGGGCTCATATAATTACAGAGGATTACAATGCAAACACTTACTAAGAAGTGAGGTTTTTACTCACGAAAGCTTATGTCCAAATAAATCTGTTAGTCTTTAAGGTGCCACCAGACTCCTTGTTGTTTATGAGGTGTGGATGTTATAACTGAGATTACTCAGGGGGGAGGGATAGCTCGGTGGTTTGAGCATTGGCCTGCTAAACCCAGGGTTGTAAATTCAATCCTTAAGGGGGCTATTAAAGGATCTGGGGCAAAAATCTGTCTGAGGATTGGTCCTGCTTTGAGCAGGGGGTTGGACTAGATGACCTCCTGAGGTCCCTTCCAACCCTGACATTCTATGATTCTATACTACATGCAGTGTCCTACAAGCATTTAATCAAGTCTGAACACATTCTTATCAGCATAACATATATGGTAACAATACTAACACACAGGTGAGCCAGACTGGTTTCCAACTATGTGTTGGTCAATATTCAGTTGAGGCCTGGAGGCCTTTGCATGGGCTGGCACCTGGTCTGCCAGCGTCACAGTCACAGCATTAGTTTAAAACAAAATGCTATGACTGATTTCATGCATCTTTATATACACTTACAGGTTTTTGAGTAAGATTGTCAGGTCAGACAGCTCACGTAAGCTTGTTATATTCCTAGGGTGAAATTCTGGCCCCACTGAGTGCAGTTTCAAAACTCTCATTGACTGCAATGGAGTGAGGATTCAAATGTATTTGGCATAAGGAAAAAAGAATCTGATCCTTGTAAACCGATTGGAATTATTTGTCCAAAAAGTTGTATTAACATGGTGAAGAATATCATATTTTAAAGCTTTTGGTAGATCTAGGAGGCCAATCTCCTTTTGCATCTCCCTTTCAGTGTTAGATCTTCAGGTGGATGACATCCTTGTGCCCCTGAAACAAGAGAACACCAAACAAAAGTCCTAATTCTGCAGAGGAATCTCTGATTTATTAATAAAACTCAGTAACAAACTTCTGTGGGTTACAGCTAACCAGAGTTTTGGATTAATATTTTGTAATTTACAAATTAAATTAAAAGATGTTTTATAATATTTCAAGTAGGTTTAGCTCTACTTTTGTGAAAAGGTTTAACTTGCATTTCTGTATTATTGCTCCTTCAGATGTTGTACAGTTTCGTAGTGCCAAGATCTGGTGGTCTAATTCCTTCTCCTTTTTAATCCCATAGAAATATCAAAAGCTTATCAGATATCCAAATAATGCAAGTTGCCTGTGGCTACTGTCACTCACTTGCACTCTCAAAAGGTAAGTAAAGTTGTTCTGCAGTATTTATGTGAATTCCTATTGGGTAATTCAAAAGGGTTTTTTATAGAATTTTTTTTAAGAAGGAACCACATTTTAAAATATATCTCCAAGGTGCCTTTGACACTGTGCCAAGTCCCACCTCCTATTGCCTTAGCTATGTTACCTTTTTATTTAATTAAAAAAAAAAAAGGAACGTTCTGATTTTTTTACTTGATATTTATTATAAAAACATAGCTCTGTCCTGATAGCCCTAGAATTATTTTTCTCCGCTACTCTCTAACTGACATAGAGTTAAAAGAAAATAATGAAATGTATGACAAGTCTCCAAAATATGTAATTGTTTTACTGATGTTCTTTGAGAGTATTATGGAAATCAAAATGTGAAAATCCAATTTGTCACTTGATCTTGATGAATAAGAGCATTTTACAATGTTAAGTATGGCCCTAATCCTGCAGACATTTATGGATCTGCATAATGTCATGTGTATGAGTAGTCCCATTTATTTCAATAGGTCATTCATGTTCTCATTATTTTTTCAGTTGTCTTGAACTGAGTCTTGCCAGCTTTGTCAGTGATGATTGTAAAGTGCTTGGTCATTGGCTGATTGGTTCATACTAGGGCTGTTAAGTGATTAAAAAAATTAATCGTTCGATTAATCGCACTGTTAAACAACAATAGAATACCATTTATTTTAAATATTTTGGATATTTACTACATTTTCAAATATATTAATTTCAATTACAACACAGAATACAAAGTGTACCTTGCTTACTTTATATTTATTTTTGATTACAAATATTTCACTGTGTAAAAAATATTTTTCAATTAATCTCACAAATACAGTAGTGCAATCCCTTTATCATGAAAGTTGAACTTACAAATGGAGAATTATGTAAAAAACAAACAAACCTGCATCACTTGCCTCCATCATTGTTCTTCACATCCTACGTTGTCAGCTTATATGAACCAAACCTTTATAACAGTTGTTAAATTGTTTTTGTTTGGTACATATTGAGTTTAATAATTTGGGACAAGTACATTTGGTTTTTGATATATGCTATTTGAGAGTCAATTTCTGACAGGCATAGCAAAAAAAAAAAAAGTTGTATACCTACAAAGGGCTATTGTTCTTACAGAATATTTAATTTTAAAAAAGAGCTCAACACAACTGCCGTATTATCTTTGTCTACATTAGGGAAACTTTTTTAAAAATGACCATTACTAGTGCTGACTCAGGTCCACCAGTGTTAGCAACATTGGGAGTCATAGTGTAGATGGGCCTCTAGTATTTTTAATGGTGTCGTCCAAGCCTGCTCAGAGCAGGTCTAATCAATGCCTGTGCTTAAAAAGCCAGTGGCCCATCCATTCTAGGGCTTTGCAGTGTTGCTGACGTGGGTGGAGTTGAAAAAATGTTAGCAATAGTGAGTAATTTAAAACTTCCTTACTGTAGTGGACAAGGCTGCTATTTTACATTTGTGTATAGATAAGTATTTCTAACTTGAGCCAATAAAAGTGTGAAGTAGTGATGTTATCTCTGAGTAATTGGATAAAATTTGAAACTTAACATTTACTGAAAAGGCTTCAAAACTTCACATGATAATTCTTTTTTTAAACTATCCAATAGATGCCAGCTATTGTGGATAGTAGAGTAAGTTACAGAATGGTGGTTCATGCTGTAAATTATCATTTCAGTAGCAACATTATTAAATTTATTTGAGACTAATTACATCAATATTTGTATTAATTTCAGTGGCATTTTTAATAAGTGATGGAAGCACGTACTGTTCCATTTCCATCTTACTTGATAAGGCTAATAATTAGCTGGTGCTGCTGATGTGAAAAAGTTATGTGCAACCTTGAAGTTTTTGAATTGATTTAAATATTAATTTCAAATTAGTCTGACATCTCGGTTTGACTTCAATCTCAAATTACAATCAGTTTTGAGTTTGAAAGACCAAATTAATAAAAATCTCTGAACTACTGAAATTATTTGAATTCCCTGTACAAAATAGTCTAGCTGTTTAATTTTTGAAAGGTCATGAGTTTGTCCTTTTTGTTAAAGGTATTGAACACAGTTATAAATTATATTTAAAGTATGTTGATCCTGCTTCATCTTAGATCTTTTTTTCTCTTTAACAGGAAGTGAAGTTTATTCCTGGGGACAGAATAAATATGGCCAACTGGGTATAGGTTATGAATTTAAAAAGCAGACTTCACCTCAACTGATTAAATCTTTACTGGGAATCCCTTTTGCACAAATTGCAGCAGGAGGAGCACATAGTTTTGTACTAACTCTTTCCGGAGCCATTTTTGGATGGGGACGCAACAAATTTGGTCAACTTGGTCTTAATGATGAAAATGGTGAGTAGTTGTTACTTCAAAATATTTCACACTGGAAGTCTTTATTGTGGCTCTGCCTTGTACTCAGTGTCTTGGAATAATCTTCAAATTGGAATTCTTGTCCGCATCATTGACTAGCAGAGTTATATAAACATCCTGGTCTTGTTAATTCAGTGTCTGGTTTTACATTCACCATTGCCTGGGCACCCTGGATTGAGTTTGTAACTCAAAACCCAGGACAGCTTCCCTCTTGACAGACTAAGGATGTATTTAAATTAGCAAGTAAGGCCCTGACTGCAACATTTGCATATGTGCTGAGCTTTTATCAAGTGGGACTAAAGTATGTAACCTCTGTTTCTTTTGCCCACCCCAGAACGAGATCAGGTGTAACTGGGTCCCTGGAAATGGGACAGGATCATCCAGACAGTCCTGTCAGATACTACTTATGAGAGCTGAAGTCATAGTTACATACAAAAGAGAAAATAGAAAAGATATTGTCTCATTGCTTCATAGTAAAAGCTCTCACTGACAAAGTTGTCCTGTAATTCTGCTGAGTCCCTTTCCCTTTCTATTTATGAATGAAAAAGCGTTTGAGCTCTTTGAGCTCTCATTCTTTTCTTTTTAACCTTTCCTTTGCCCTTTTAAATTAACTTAACAAGAATGATTCTGTTGAGTTACTTAGAACTTGAACAATCTACCTTTTGGTAAATGATCACATTTTCTGAGACTGCTTTTAACCTATAGTCTAATAGATAATCGTATACAGACAAATTTAACATATCCTTTTCATTATATATTTGCCTTGTCTTCTGTCTTCCAATGACCCCTTTTGGGGACTGTAGTGATTATAAAATATTTCCTTTGTTTGGTCTGTTTATTTAGTAACAATTCAAAAACAAACCATGTGATGAGGAAAAATTAATGTTCCTTTCCTCTTAATGGGATTTGTCAAACAGTTTTGGACTAGTAGGTTTCAGAGTAGCAGCCGTGTTAGTCTGTATCCGCAAAAAGAACAGGAGTACTTGTGGCACCTTAGAGACTAACAAATTTATTATTCTTATTATTATGCTCTAATAAATTTGTTAGTCTCTAAGGTGCCACAAGTACTCCTGTTCTTTTAGACTAGTAGGTCCTCTTCCCCCCGCCCCCCACCCCAAGTTTCAGGGCTTGTAGTTATGAATGTATTGTGGTGTGTGTGTGTGGAGAGAGAGAGACACACACAACTTAGTGCTAATTATAGTCTGTAAATTAATCTACAGATGCAGAATTTATGAATTACCAAATTTAATCTCAGATGAAATCAGAACAAAATGTCTAATTGTGCTGGGAACTGGTTAATGAGACAGTTAGCTATGGAAATGAGGATGTGTGTCGGTTCCATGTTAGGTGGAGAATGGGAAGAATGTATAATTCTCTAAAATTTCTCAATAAAAATACAATACAACTGAAACTTATTTCTGAAGTAATAGTTTTAAATATGGTGGTCCTTTTTACAATGAGAAGATTAGAAAGACTGAAACTGGTTTTTAGTGGTCACGTTTTCAGAGTTAATCAGTCTGGTGGAAAACGAAAACACATTGTTTTCAAATTTCATAGTCTTTGTAGATGCTCTTTAGAGTCCACATTACCCCATTTTTATCAGGCACTGATAAAGTATACATTTTTAATGTACAGAAAATTATTTTTAAATAAAGTTATACAATTGTCATTGTACATTTAAACATTTCTTTAGTATTGTTAGTTTACAAATTTTCACTTGTGCAACTAGATGACAATGCTGTTTTAGTCTGTTATATCTGCAGGGAAATTAACTTCTGCTTCTAAAACGAACACGAACTCTGACATGGTCTATTGCTATAACAGTATCTCATGTGCTGTGTAAAAACATTTTTTTAAACTCCTGGAGTGTGCAAATTCAATGTAATTTTATCTCTGTACACTTTACTTTTTAAAAAAACAAATTAACATTTTTCATCATCTAAAACATATGCATGGGATAATCTCTCCTCTTCTGCATTGTCCACCTTAGGTCTAATGTACTGCATTGTATTTCATGATTTGTGGGATAAAGTTCATGAGCCAGTGCCTTTAATTTTAAGGAGTGTAAACCTTTGTTTATCAAAATTCAGGATGAATATTTTTTTATACAGTATTTTTATATGGTACCTCTCACTTAATGCCTCTGTATTTTGGGTTCTTATAATTTTTGAATCCTATAGATTAATAAATTTGGGCCAAAAGATCACTAATTTTGAAAGTTAAATCTGGAGACAGAGCTTTTTGATGCAACTTCTTTTTCAAAACACGTTTTATGTACTGACATTATAATGTGACCAACTTTTTATTAAAACCTTCAGACAGGTATGTTCCTAATCTGCTGAAGTCCCTAAGATCTCAGAAAATTATTCACATCTGTTGTGGAGAAGATCATACAGCTGCTCTTACAAAGGTACAGTACTTAAAGTATCGTCTGATTTGTTAATTTAGGCACTTCATGTAGCAGTGAACAATGCTCTTTTAAAGTCTCTAAATGCAATATTTCTGTTGCAATGCATTTCTATTTCTTAAAAGTTAGATGGATAAAATATGGCCTGTGAAATCATGATAATAGTAAGAGAAAGGTTAAACATTTTAAATAAAGACCCACATTCTTCATAAGCTACATAAACCATATTTATAGTACAGGCACTACAGTGGCACAGCTTTGGTGCTGCAGCTACGCTGCTGTAGTACCATCGTGTAGATGCTCCCTACAATGATGGAAGAGGTTTTACATGCTCCTGAGTGCCGTAGCTATGTCAACCTAACTTGTAAACGTAGACCAGGCTTCAGTCTAAGATAGGGGTTCCCAAACTTGGTTTGCAGCTCCCACTGGCTGGGAACAGCGAACCGCGGCCACTGGGAGCTGCGAGCAGTCGTACCTGCGGACACTCAAGTAAACAAAGTGTCTCGCGGCCCGCCAGGGGCTTATCCTGAACAAGCCGCGAACCAAGTTTGGGAACCCCTGGTCTAAGATGTGTCAGCTTTACTAAAGATGAATTTGCAAGGTTTTTACATTATTAAAAACACTTTGATCACGACATTGCTTATGGCATTATTTAAACTCTGCGATAGTTGAGCTTTAGAGTGCACTGTTCTAAATACTAACATAAACTTCTGAGCTGGATGGTTTTACTTTTACTGCATTTGTCATAAAGTTTTCCCTGACAAGGTTAGTTCCAAATTAGATTGTACAGTTGATGGATTTTATTTTAATTCAGCAGCAGTATTACTTGTAAATAGTAAGTAATTAGCAATAGTGGAAATTGTCCGACGTTATCCAGAGGGTAACTACTGTGCAAGCAGTTAGTGTGAGCTTCCTTCAGGGTTTTACCAATAGCTTCAGCCCTCTCCTGAAAGAAACATCCTTTATTTGATGGGTTCTTAGTTTTATGTCATTGTAGCTCAATCCTATACAGAGGTGAATACCTGAACCACAACTGACACTTAACTTCAGTTTATGTTTAAGTGCGTTATTTATTGTAGTCTCTTTTGTATTTTGTATAAATTAGTTTATGAAAAATGTTCAAATAATAGAAATCTCTCCATAATTATAGGAAAAGATGTCCAATAGAAGCAATTATTTATGAACAAATATTACCCTGCAGTGTATGTGAACCAAATATTTGCACCACTGTAATCCTGAGATTGAAACTGATTTCACTGATACTAATTGTCCAAGTTGAGACATGCACAGTATAAACAAAATAGTGACCAGTAAACTGTATTTTAAACTTTTTTCCTTTTACTAAGGCATTATTAGTAAAATAGTTAAATCAGATTTACAAGAAGTGTAAGTTGACACTATCCCTTTAATGTGAATGGTTAAGATATGTTAATTTACTGTAAATACTAAAACTAACATGATTTTTCTGTAGTCCCTTCAAGCCCAGCAGTCCCTCTGCATAATTGCAAAATTAGGGTCTTAATATATTTCTGTGTGTGGAGGAACTAGTTGTATGTGAGAGTATTTTAAAAGCCCTTCCAGAATTTAGAAGTACCTGGCACTGTTTATTCTAATTCAGTGAATGGGGCTGTTTTTCTCAGCGGATGCTGCCATTTTAATGACGATTTCCAGCAGAGATCCAGTCTGGTGCAGAGTAGAATTGAAAGAATCAGCTTTGCAATTTGAAAGCATTTGAATATGGAAATTTTCACAGTTGTTGTAAGGTAAGTTGCGTAACTTTTAAAAACATTTTTGATTAACATTCTTCTGTTATGGTTTTTGGTTAATTTCCTGTTAAATTAATCAAAAACATTTTTTTTAAATAATTGAACTTGCCTTACAACCATGTTGAAACTTTTTGATATCCTGTGCTTTCAAATGATGAAGCTAATGCTTTCAATCATACTCTGCATCATTTCTTTGAGTAGGGCAGCTTCCTATTTGGAAATTATTATGAAATATATTTATGAATTAAGTTTTAGGGTTTTCCTGTTTTTTTTTTAGTTTTTATGTGCAATTGTAGTTCATCTGTGGAAAAGAGGAAAAAACAAGGTTTAGTATCTTGTTAATGGCAGAATTATTGTGTAATAATGTGGAAATTTCAAGAACATTATTTAACAATGGTGTAATATATATGATAGATGTACTACATTTTCATAAATGGAATTAACTTGTAACCCTGTATAGATGAGTACCCTTATTTTTCTATTCCACTATCTTGTTAAAATTATATAAACCAAGAAAGGAGAACTGTACAATAGATGATTCTTATTGTTCAATGTATTCTAATTTTAATCCAAATATATTTGTTTAGGAAGGTGGCGTTTTTACATTTGGAGCTGGAGGCTATGGACAATTGGGTCATAACTCTACCAGCCATGAGATAAACCCAAGGAAAGTTTTTGAACTTATGGGAAGCATTGTCACACAGATCGCTTGTGGGAGGTAAGTTCCATTCTGTACTAGAGCTATGAATGGCAAAAATATTTTGTACATTGAACATCCAGTTGTATAGTGAAGTATCTGAACTCTGACCCTTACAGATAAGGGGTAAGGACAAAACTGTTAGACTTGAACTACTTAAATGTGTTATCTTAAACAGTATTAAATAAAAAATGTACCACAAAGATGTATGACTCTCTAAACAGAACTGCAATAATCATTTATTTTTAACCTGTGTCCATCCTTGCCTTCCTAATTCTGGTCCTTGCATGTTAAGTGAAGGCAATAAACCGTATCTAACAAGCATTTAAAAAAAACAACAACCACCAAACTCCAGATCCTGAACAATGAAGATGTATACGTGCCTTTATTGAGTGTAACACAAGGGCTAGAAACATACCTTTTTTTAAATAAAAGCACTAGATGATGGCTTCAGGACAGTGGGTGTTCAACATATATGTGTGTGTACTCTTAGTTCAAGCCAGGGAGGATATTTATCATTGTTCAGATTGTAGTAGCACCCAAAATGTAGATGCTTCCCAGACATAGCTGAAGACATTGTCCTTGTCCCAAAGATTTGGTAATCTAACAGGACAAAGACAAAGAATGGAAGAAAGATACACATAGGAGCAAAATGATCGTGCTGGTGTTAGGGATGCTTTGTTTTTTAAATATAAACTGTCCTCAATTACCATTCTGTCTATCCATGGTGACCATGACTGGACCATTCCCTGTTGGCAGTCTACATTAATTCATGACTGTTTATCGCACGCTGTCCCCTCCTCTACCATGAATTTAAGGCTGAGAGGAAAAAGAATTGCAACCAGTCTGGCAGAAACTTTAAATTCTAAATGTCCAAGACCACCCTCCAGGTCAGGCTTTGGGTGGGAAGGGATGGCAGGCTCCAGGTGGCTGCTCTGTCCTCTAATGTTCCAGGCGGGTCCTTTTATTTCACTACCTTGGAACACATGGTTTCTGGTAACATGCTGAAGGACGTTAAATATACTGTTAACAGTCCTATTTTGACCTGCACATAGCATGTTACAATGCTTGCATAATTTATTTTAAATTTTGTATCTCTGCCGTAGGCAGCACACCTCTGCATTTGTTCCTTCATCTGGAAGAATTTACTCCTTTGGTCTTGGAGGTAATGGACAGTTAGGAACAGGATCAACCAGTAATAGGAAAAGTCCCTTCACAGTAAAAGGAAACTGGATTCCTTATAGTGGGCAGTGCCCACCAAGCACAGGTAAATGTGTGACACTACATATTAATTCTTTAAACTATTTCTGCATTGTTTGAACTTTGGGAGGTAACCAACTATGATTTCCCAGTGTATCAGAGAAGAACACTTCCATCTCCCTAAAACCTTTTCTGCACTAGGAAATATTTGCTAAAATCTTACAGATGATGCCCAAAGGAGCTAAATGAGTGGCATAACAAAAGTGCGTTTGCGAGTGTAGTCCAAGATTTCTGTTGCTGCTACTATTTTAAGCACTGTGTTGTGTCGACCAGCTTTGAGCAGGGGTGATAACATCGTGCTTTCTGCAGAGAGACCCTTCTTGATTGCTTGATTCATAGACAAGCAGTCATTGTATCCATTGCAATGTGATGTGCCTTTTCAAACTAAGATTTGGAATTTTATTTTCATTGCAGACAATGAAGAATATTATTGTGTAAAGAGAATTTTCTCTGGTGGAGATCAGAGTTTTTCACACTACTTTAATCCACAGGTAATAAATTAAAATACTGTGAATTAGTTTCAAAGCCTATAACCAAGGCTCTATCCTATGTGGCATTTTAGACCTAAATTATGTGACAGGAACCTTAGAATTATGTACCTCTGCCTCCCATATCTTCTTCCCTTCATAGCACTCAGCCTTGGTCCAGAACAGCACAATCAGTATAATAATATGTTGTTGTTTAATGTAAGTTTGAGTTTATTTTATGCTCATCTCCCCTGACCCCTCCCACAATTTTCCCCCCCCTCTTTTTGACCTTCTGTTGGTTTTAGTATTGAAAATGCATAACTGCATAGTACAAGGTGTAGGGGGGAATCCTGAGGCTTTCATGGCTGGGTTAGTTCACAGTTGGGATTTTGGACGCTCAGGAAAGTGGAAAGCCTGTTGGTGGTGGTTTTTGCACCTGCAATGCATTTGAAGCTTTCGGTAATGGGATGCATGTCCTCTTTCCCTTTCAGACATGAGTGGGGTTTGAACTTCTTGTTTTCTGCCACTTCTCAGCAACTTTTACCAGCAGCTAACTTCCCTATTGTTTCTTGCCCCAATATCTGGTATTTCGTCCAGCAGTGACTGATAAGCATGTTTAGCTGATCGTTTCTGCTACAATGATCAGTAGCCAAATAGTTTATTGCTGACATTTTAAATCATCATCATTAGATTTCATTACAGTCTTCGAGTAGCAGCCGTGTTAGTCTGTATCCGCAAAAAGAACGGGAGTACCTGTGGCACCTTAGAGACTGACAAATTTATTAGAGCATAAGCTTTCGTGGGCTACAGCTCACTTCTTCTTCAGATGCATAGAGTGGAACACACAGACGGAAGATATTTATACATACAGAGAACATGAAAAGGTGGAAGTACGCATACCAACTGTAAGAGGCCAGTCAATTGAGATGAGCTACCAGCAGCAGAAGGAAAAAAAACCTTTGAAGTGATAATCGAGATAACCCATAGAAGGTGTGAGGAGAACTTAATACTTGATGCAAATGACACTTGCTTTTATTAGATATACTCTGAGAACAGTCAAGATTTGTATATATTGTAGTTTCATACAGCAGCATCAGCAGAGACTGGGAATGGTTGGATCATAGGTCAGGCTTTGGGTGGGAAGGGATGGCAGGCTCCAGGTGGCTGCTCTGTCCTCTAATGTTCCAGGCGGGTCCTTTTATTTCACTACCTTGGAACACATGGTTTCTGGTAACATGCTGAAGGACGTTAAATATACTGTTAACAGTCCTATTTTGACCTGCACATAGCATGTTACAATGCTTGCATAATT